ACGGGTCGCCGCGAAATTCGTACCAACGCCCCTGCTCACACATCGTTGCTTGTGCGCGAATTTTTGGCCAAAAACAACACACTAATGATGCCGCAGCCACCGTATTCCACAGACCTGTGACTTTTTCTTATTTCCGAAACTGAAGAGGCACATGAAAGGACGACGCTACGCTACGATTGAGGAGATAAAGACGGCATCGAAGGAGGAGCTGAACAAGATCACAAAAAATGATTTTTTGAAGTGCTTCGAGGATTGGAAAAAACGTTGGCACAAGTGTATAATATCTGATGGGGATTATTTTGAAAGAAACAAAATAGATATTCATGAATAAATAAATAATTTTTGAAAAAACACAAAATTCGCGATACTTTTTGAACAGACCTCGTATCTATTTGTTCTGCGTATAAAAATACTAGGTTGAGATACTCGGTTGAGATCATCGAAAAGTGAATACGTATTACTAAGATATTTTACTTTTTATTCTATTATTTTTCAATATAAAAGATATGAAACAATTGTTTACGGCAATCGACATGTCTCATAAAGTATTAATTCACTTTTCAATAACATAACTTTGACATTTTTATATGTGGAATGACAGATGGAATCATCGCTATGAGCAAATATAGAAAAACCTTAAAAAATAATTCATTGCATTTTGCAAATGTATCAAAGCATCAATATATAATTATCAGTAATCGATTTTTTTCATGTTATTATATAGAAAAATATTGAGAGGATATTAATGAAAAGTGAATATTTCATATCTTATATTAAAAAAATGTTAGAATAAAAAGAAAAATATCTGTAAAAGTATTCACTTTTCTATGATCTCACCCTAGTATTTTTATACGCAGAACAGAGAAATCGATTTGTTCTAAAAAAACTATATTTCATATATTTCTTGTGTAAGTCTGTAATTTTTTTCAAAATTATTCTGCACAAATTATTTTAATATTTAAAATATTATATATACAATTTAATTTTCGGCCTTTTTAAAGAAAATATGTTGTTTATTAAAAAAAAAATAATAAATAATCTCTTAATCCTTAAAATAGTTTCTGTCACTTTCTACCTACTTCTGCCATCTTTCAGATAATTGGTGAAATCCGCTTTGGAAGAAGAGTGGTTTCGAGTTAATAAACTCATCGATGCTTTTGTCGACTCCTTCGGGAGACTTGGCCCTTTAGACTATGCCCTTTCGGATTACCATCGATCCCTGCAATATCACTTGGTTGATTCCTACAAGTCTCCAGAAGGGGTCGACAAAAGCATCGATGAGTTTATTAACTCGAAACCATTCTTCTTCCGAAACGGATTTCACCAATTTTCACTTCTTGAGATTGTCATAGACTACCCATTTTTCATCACCAGTCACTATTTTGTGCAAAAAGTCCTTCTTGAATCTTGATAGCAAGGACTAGCCGTGTCGAGGCGCCTCTCTTTATTTATTTAAATATATATTCAAGACTGAACATATGTGGAACCCAACGGTCCTTTTGAATCCCACTAAGTTTATATAGATGTTTTGAAATGGCTTGTTCAGTCATTGCAAGTGTATTTGCAAGCCCTCTGAGTCTGACAAAGATTTTTTTTTCCAAAAGCTGCTTTAATTCTTCGTCTTTCTTCGGTTATTCAGAACGTTATTCATCCTGGTTGATTGACAATAAGTCTTTAGTGACACATTAGTGGTGTTGTCACCTCCAATATGCCATGAATTTCCAGTAGTGTCAACCTTCAAACCTCTCGCTACACAGTTGCAGACAGCTATGACAATCAGTATATTTGTGACAGCTACCGAAAGCACATAACCTCTGATATTTTGCAAAAATTGAAAAAAAAATTGAAATTCGTACAGTGATTATGTATTTCTATTTGAAAGGCTTGCAATCGCAAGAAATAATTAAGGACTTCTAAAAACTTTTGGGGGAGTTCTGCTGCATCGAATGTAACCGTATATAACTGGATTGCTGAGTTTAAACGTGGTCGTACTAGGACATCGGATGCACGACGCAGTGTCGTCCAAATGAAGTGACTATACCAGAAATGAATGAAAAAATCCATGATATCGTGTTGGATGACCACAAAGTGAAATTGTGTGAACTAGTTGCGACTGTGGGCATCTCATTTAAACGTGTGTTCAATGTCTTACACGAACATTTGTGTATGAGAAAGCTAACTGCAAGATGGGTGCCACGATTGCTAATAATCGATCAAAAACGTGAACTAGTTTGCACTTCTCAGCATTGTTTGGACATGTTTAGGCGCAAATCAAAGAAATTTTTACGGCGATACATAACCGTTGATGAAACATGAATCCACCATTATATACCTGAATCGAAACAACAGTCGGCACAATGGGTTCCAAAGGGTGAAAGTGTTTCGAAGCGACTAAAGAAAAAGACGCAACGATCGGATAGAACGGTTCTGGCCACTGTGTTTTGGGATGCACATGGAATAATCCTCATCGATTATCTTGAAAAAGGAAAAACAATTACAGGAGAATATTATGCATCATTGTTGGACCGATGGAATTATGTAATGTAAGAAAAAACGGCCTCATTTAGCGAAGAAAGAAATTCTCTTTCATCAAGACAATGCACCAGCTCACAAATTGGTAGAAACAATGGCAAAATTGAACAAACTGAGATATAAATTGCTCTCACATCCACCGTATTCTCCAGATCTGGCTCCGTGTGACTTCTACCTGATTCCTGATGACTTCTACCTGTTTCTAAATCTCAAAAAATTGCTCCAGGGAAAAAATGGCTCCAGACGCATATTTTGGTGGTTTAGAAACTTCTTATTATTTGGAAGGCTTAAAGAAGCTAGAAACTCGTTGGATTCAGTGTATTGAACTAAAAGGAGATTATGTTGAAGAATCAAGTTGAGTTTTGCCAACAAAATTTTTTTTTTCATTTTCATTCTAGGGAATTATCGAACCTGGTACATTTATAAGTATTTGTTATTAAAACTTGTTATTAAAACTTTTACAAATATTTGTTATTAAAACTTTTACAAATATATGAATGTTTTCAAGTATATAAGAATTTTTTCAAATTTACATACAATCCGTAGCAGTGTAAGAATTTACATACAATCCGTAACAGTGTAAGAACAAGCATTTCCCTTAATGATCCGGATTGTCCACGGAAGGTGCTAAATTTAATATTGCCGACGGAGAGTTAATGTTTTTCTACACAATAATATGAGAGAAATAGATAGCTGGTGTTTATCATTGCATATTGTGCACTAATTCATTTGCAAAATGCAATAAATTTGTTTTAAGGTTTCTCTATGTTTGCTTACAGCATTCGATTCAACCTGTCTACATACATATTACGTACAAAAATATTATGGTGAGGTTATCGAAAAATGAATATGTTCCTTAGAGCCTTTATGGCACGGTTTCACTAACGCGAGTTAATTAAATAAATCGGTTGATTAAATTTGTCACCAGAATTGCCAATAGCAAGATTTCAAAAACGAACATCAATCAATAATAAAATTAAAGTTAATAATTACGTAAAACTTTTAACTGCAATTATTAATTTTACGTACATTGGTATTATTATATACACTGACGATACATGGTTCTTCAGATGCCAAGAAAGTAAGTTGATAAAGATCAATTTTATGTTCGGCAGTTAATAGGTCCGAATCGACTGATTTGATTAATTCGCATTGGTAAAACTGGGCCTATGAGATTATTTCGTATCTTGTATCAGAAAGATATAATAAAAAATAAAATATTTCGGAAAGTATTTACTCTTTGGTAATCTTACTCTAGTACTTTTATACATAGAATAAACAGAAATTAACTATGCTAAAAAAAACTATGATTCTATTAAAAAAATGAAATTTATCTTCAAATAATCTTGAATTATTGATTATACAACAAAATTAAGGCCATCAAAGTATGTCCTTTTCCAAACCGTATAATTTTTGTCTGGAACATTTCTTTCTATTTTGTTTTTTATTTTTTATACAGGATGTCCTAGACCACAGAGACAAACTTCGTAAGAATGTATGGTGGATTGAGATGAACAAGAAAATTCTCTATCATTTTGCAAACAATACGCAAAATTTCTAGTTTTTAATTATTGAAAATAGCCATGCGTAGAGGCTTTTGTAATGAATAATTCTAAAATTTGTGTTATTTGCAAAATGATAAAGGATTTTTTTAATTTAGATTTTTTATTTAGATTAGATTAGATTTATTTTGGTCTAATCTACAAGTATATGACAACTGTTGTGTCCATCAACAGACATTAGTATATTGAACATTAAACTTTGAACTTTGAATTGTGTTGCTAAATACAATAGCTATCACATACTTGTAGATTAGGTCACTAGACAAAAAAGTCCTTTACGATTTTGCAAATTTTTGTATTATTAATTAATCCTTTCGTGTTTGACTTTTTTTAGAAATAATTAGCACCTAATTCACATCTTACGAAAGGTTTTTGGAATCGTTGATTATAAATCTGTAGTCAAAATTTCAAAATTTTAAATGACAGATTCAATATGGCAGACCAAAATGTAAAATTTTCTTGGATTTAAATGAAACTCATATTCATGTGTTTTTGAAATCGCTGATTTGAATTATCAATTATTTCTATAGGTACTTCTCATCAGTTGTTTTCATGGTTATTTTTCACGGTTACATCTCATCAGTTGTTTTCACGGCTAATGCTTATCAATAGTTCGATTAAGTTCAAATCATCAGTAGGCGGAAGAAAGAACAACAGTTTATTTATGTACAGTGTATGAAGATCTATCTCATCCTGTGTTTTAAAAAATCCCATGAAATGTGAATAGAATTGATTCGACCTTTTTTATTTATATTTTGCCAGCTACATTAGATGTGACGTCTTGAATTTGAAAATTTCAATTTTAGATTCATAATTCAGCAACTCAAAAAAAAGAAAACGCTGGAAAATAAGTTTCATTCAAATTCAACAATATTTAGCATTTTGGCTCGCCATATTAGACTTGCCATTTAAAATTTTGGAACGTTTACTACAGATACATCATCAGCGACTTCGAAAACCTATATGTACCAACTTACATATGAACTTACATATGAACATTAAATTCGTCATTTTGAAATTAATCACTTGACTAGTAGCGAAAATCAGCATCAACTGAACCAGAAAGGGCAAGATGAAAATGCTGTTCGATTTTTATAAAAGTCGGTACTAAAGTGTTTTTCGAGTTGAATATGAATGAAACCTACAAAACTCTAGATACCAGGTTTAGAAAAAATTGATAAAAATTTTTAATTTTTTGTCCTCCACATTAAATCAGCCATTTTGAACTTTAAAAATTTGACAACGCTGTCAAAAATCTGATTCACAATCAGTAACCTAATCCCCCCCCCCGGATAATGAGTTTCAGAAAAATAGAAAAAAATTATAAATTTTGGTGCGTCATAGTGGATCAGTCATTTTGAATTTCAAAATTTTTTGTTCAGATTTGAAATCAGCGACCCCAAAAACCTCCGAGTAACCAAGTTTCATGAAAATCTTGCTGATTAGAGAAAAATAAAACTATGTGCGCATTATTACGTCAATACTTTTTTTGACATACCCTTTTTTTGACGAAATATATCAATGTTAGTCAAGTGGCTAAGTAGCGATTTATTTTGTATAACTGTTATATTGACTTTTAAAATGAGCCTAGGAAAAACTCTCTTATTTTTAATTTTAATTTTTGTGATGATATATGTAGTTTTCATTTTTACACTATTTTACGAGTATTTGATTAAATATGCAAATTAAAAAGTGAAATTCACAAGAATGTTGATTTATTTGTGAAAAATCCTATTCTTCATCTTTAAAATGAGTCCAGGAAAAAGTCGCTATCTTTATTTTTATGGAAGATATGAATTTCTGAAAGGTCGGGACATATGTTTCATCAAGTACGAAAGGGTTAATCAATGATGTGCGAAAAAATAGTTTGTCCAAATTGCGAAATATGAATTGTATCCTCGAATTTACACCAAATCAAAAACATTATTTATAAACATTATTAATATCCTCGAATTTACACCAAATCAAAAACATTATTTATAAACTTTAAATTGTTTTGATTTAATAAGTATAGTTAAATTGTTTTGATTTAATAATTATAGTTTCATTTAACGAATATTATTTAAAAGCTATTTTACCAGAGAAAACGTTGCTTTTTCTGATATAGAGAAACGCGTAATATATTCTATATCAAATCTAGAACATCATTAATATTCTGATATTGGTAGATAGGATATTTATAATATACTTACAGACTGTAATTGTTCTCTGCTACCTGGTTGACTCCAGCCGCTATCTTCATCGTTATTCATGTTATTACTATGTTGTTGATGAAATATATGAAGATTTGCCCCACCATCTGAAGCTCTTCTACCAAACCCTCCAGCTGTAAATATATACAATATGTAATATATAATAAATATATATAATAGGTAGTAAATAATGCATTTTTATTAATCTAACTTATTGATTTTTATAAAGTACAATTAACTTTATAATGATAACTTGATGTAGTAGATAAACAACATAAAAATATTTGAAAATTCATGGCATTTACGTTTATATATTCGTTATATAAAGAGAATCACCATAATGGATGATAAATATATTCTATATTAACAAGATTAACAATTGATTTATAATGTAAAAAAGTAATTTTGAATAGTTATAACCTTATCAAATTTAAACGAGTAATTGTTGTTATTAATTAACACGAGTGCCACTGAGTGTCACGTCAGTCACCGGTGACCGTTGACACTGAACTTTCTGTTTAGGCCGCGTCAGTTGCCGGTGACTGACAGTATAAAGTACGATATAAAACTAAAAAAATTACATAGTTTAATAAGTAATTTCAGGATTGTATAATTAATATACTTAAATATTTCTTATCAAAAAATTTTAATGGATTTGGCCTGACGGAGATTTCCTCCGAAATGCGCGTGGCAGTTAACGTGTTAAACGAAAAATCTAGTAAGGAAAGCAGACAAGATGGGAAATATAGATGTGAACACATATCTACGTTTTCCATCTCAGTCTCTTTGTATAAGCTAGAGAATTTTATTCAATTACTATACTGTATCGTTATCGTATCTTTCATAATAAAAAAAATAATTTTTTTAGCAATTTTTTATATAAAAAATAACTTACTGACACCCATTACAGGAGGTGGTTTTAATAAATGCTGATCCTTTATTTGGAAATTTTGAGGCGGTTGATGTTGAACTAATGGAAGATTTAATGGTAAATTCGTATGTGGTAAAACCTGCGGATCCATGTTGCAATGAGGAATAGGAAGAGGCCGTAAAGTTTGATATCCTGACATGTGATTATAAGGATATGTTGTAGGAGGTTGGTGTGCTGTATCACCAGGTCCAACTGTATGCCTTCTTGTTGTATGATACGGTGTTCCAGATGGCAAGTAAAGACCACTTCTTTCTTCCGTTTCTGCTTCAGCTTCGCCAAACTATATACATATATACATACATACATATATATACATCAAGGTTAAGAAATAATGCATACTTATAATGCCATTATTGCTGGTTACCTTCTTTTAGTAACAGCTTGGTAATGGCATTACTTTTTTCTACTTATTAACTTAATATTTAACATTATTATATTAGTATTATTTTTTAATAAAAACAGTAACAATATTATATTTTTTGGTAACAAGTAACGAAATTAACAGTTACCTTTATTCGATAATATATTTCTTTGAAAAAAAATGGCATGAATAATTTTGGCAATAAGTGACAAAGAACTATGTGGTATCTATTTAAAGAACCCAATTATTACTAGATATAAAAAGATATCTTACTGTACTTTTACTGTACTTTTATTTATTTCTGTACGTAAATATTAATATCCCTTCTGAAACAATAAAAATAATTTCCCATCTACTTTTCTTTTACATTGATTAGAACAACAATATTTTAATATATAACCCCGCTTATTAATCTCCTAATCTGATTCTACTCGGTCAAACTATATTAGAAACTTTAGAGATAACAGTCNAAGAATATACGTGGATTATTTATTGCCAATTTTAAGGACTTTGCAACAAAAACTGGAAAATTCCAACAGAGATGAATTTACAAATTGTCATTCGCTGGTTATAGTTATACAACTAAGTTTAAATAAAAAAACTATTTGATAATTCGATTAACATACGTTTGTTAATTTCCAACGAAGAAATAAATATTCATGTATTCATTCTGATAACAGAAACAACATAAAAACATTTGATTATATTAATTTAATATTTAATTTCAGATTTCATATTGCATTAGAAAAAAAATTAGAAACTTGTAATTATTTGCACCAAAAATTCAAATGGAACTGGTTAACCGGAGAAAAACGATAATTTACTGAAAGCTATACAGAAAACTAATTAAGAATTGATCAAGGGAAGGGAGTTCTTCAAATATTGATATAAAACCTGGTGATAACAATAATTTTTTTATTTTTCATCGACAAGTAATACAGAATGAATATATATAAGAAATATTGTAATATTTCTTAAAGTTAAAAAGTTTAAAAATGCCGAAAAGTTAAATGATTATCCAAAAATTAAGAAACTCTTCATTAAAAAAAACTGCATTATAACAGAGCGCTTCCACCGCACAGTGTATCTGTCGAATGGTTATCTAACATCGAAGACGTTATATCAATGCCACAAAAGAGTCACCTACATAATATATCACCTACATAATATCACATAAAAATTACTAAAAATCAACAAAAATTAAAATTAAAATTCGAGAAAAAGAAAAAAAGAAAATTATAATATGCTACCCGCAATTGCAACTTTAAATTTAATCTTTATTTTAATCATATATAATAATGAATATAAAACATATAAAATAAATTAAAATATAATATAATAAAAAAAACATTTACAGATATAAATATCTTATGTTTAATTTATTGTGTTGTCTTTGTGTTAAGGGAAAAGACCACTGTAGAGAATAAAAAAATCGACTTTTCTATAAAAAAAAAAATAGTATGTATTTTTAACATTACTTTGCCTCAAGATTACGTCGATATTTGAAAACTTGACGATGTTGTGACTATTTTTGTACATACAGGCGTCTTGGAACAGCTAAACATATCGCGTGGCACTACCGACTTAGGCTTTGTTTAATGCTTTTGGTCAGATTTTATATGTCTTATAAGCGGACTATCAGGATTTCTCCTAAATCCCCTAACTTAACCTTGGATTTCAATTTAGTATATATTGTAGTACTATCTTCCTACGAATCAATAATAAAACCATTCGATGCAACTCTCAAGCATTCGAGAAAAAATGCGTTTAAAGTATTTCGTGTTCTATATGTATCGATTTTTAAAAACAATTATCAATCAACAAATATAGCTGAAAACATAAGTGAATTATTATTGATTATTGGAATGGACAGTTACGTGTTGCAGATTCGAGCATTATTTTTTCTTCCTTTTTTTTTCATCTACGTTTATATAAATGTGATCATGCAACAAATTTTTAATAACATAATTATTATTTTGAAATATACTTATTCGCTACATATATATATATGTATGTGTGTGTGTGTGTGTGTGTGTGTACAGGATGTAACAAAAGATTGAAACACTAGAATATTCAGAAAAATATGAGTTTTATCAAAAAATGTTGCAGACAAAAGTTTTATAATTTCACGGAAACCATACAATATAAGTGTCATCAGTTTGACCTTGAATAGTCGTTTGAAAGTCACATGAAGGTCACCTTCAATTTCTTAAATGAAACATATTTTTCGTTGCATATTCTTGTAGCTTACCTTAAGAGTTTTGCAAAACACTTTAATAAAATATTTTTGCATTAAGTACTTTTTGAGTTATAAGGCTTGAAAGTTGCAGTACTGCCGGCATTAACACTATCCAAGATAGATATAAGTACCTCACGATTCGTCACTCTTATAGTATTTTGTGACACCAAACCGTCTCTGCTGTGTTTCAGGTAATGCTAATGCCGGTGATACTGCAATTTTCAAGTCTTATAACGCGAAAAGTATTTAATGCATATTTTATTATAGTGTTTTGGAAAGGTCTTGAGGTAAATTACAAGAATGTGCAATAAAAACTAGGAGTTTCTATTTAATAAATAGAAGATGACCCCAACCTTCAAAAGACTATCAAAGGTCAAACCAATGATACCACCTTATGTCCCCCTCCAAACCATATAACTTTTGTTTAAAATATTTTTTCCATAACACACCGTTTTCAAAATATTTAGGTGTATATGTTAAAATGGGACAACCTGTATATATATGTCACAGAGAAATGATGAAAATGGAGATTTGATCAAATCCCTAAGGTAAATGATCAATTCACGAAATCACCCCACCCGTGATTTGATTATCTACTTTAGGGATTTGATCAAATCTCCATTTTTATCATCTCCCTGCAACATATACATACATACATATATATAAATTTTTTAAGTATTAAACTTAGTTTTCGCTGTTTTTGCCTAAAAATGTATTTATTCCAATAAAAAAATGAATTAATATATTAATCAAAGTATTTTCCATCGTTTATTATTATTTTTTCCCATCTTTTTGGAAAAAGTTGGATTACATGGCGATAAAACGAGCTGTCTTTTTAAGCAAATCATTCATCTATCTATTTTCGGACTTCGTAATTGGAGAAGTGGGTAACGGCGAATGTGTGTTGCATCGATCGGAAAAGGTGGTAATCCGATGTGGTTAAATCTGGAGAATAACTGGGTGCGGGAAAATTTCCTATTCGAGCTCTAACAATGTTTCCTTCATGGTTCTTTAATATGTGGTCGGGCGTTGTCTTGCAAAAAAATAATTTTGCGTCGACTGGCTACTAATATCCTTTCTCGCATCAATTCATCGTTCGATCGGTACAATTGTTTTTGGTAGTGGTCAGCCATAACTGCTTCATTCGGTTGTAGTAGCTCATAATAAAGCACGTCTTCTTGGTCCCGCCAAATACAGAGCAATGCCTTTTACGACCGTGAATATTCTGTTTTGGCATTGATGTGGATGGTTGGCCGGAGTCCACCCATGGTTTTTTCCGCTTAGAATTATCAAAATAAATTCACATTTCATTTCCAGTCACAATGCACCATAAAAAATTCTTCTTTACAGCCTGGTAAGCAAGTAAGTCGTGATGACTAACGATTCGGGATGGTATTTTCGGACAACTCATGTAGCAGCTATTTTTCTTCTTTTTGGATTTTTCCCATGACGCGTAAACGTTTAGAAACAGGCATAGGAGTAATATTCCATTAAAAAAATTGAAGGTGACCTTCAAAAGACTATCAAAGGTTAAGTGACACCACCTTATGACCCCTCCAAACCATACAACTTTTGTCTAAAATATTTTCTCCATTAATGAACCGTTTTCAAAATATTTGGGTGTGTAAGTTAAAATGGGACATCTTATATTTAACACTTCTAATAATTCTTCGAGTGTTTGAGTTAGATTTTTATCCAATAATGCTTGCAATTCAGCGTCCTCAAACTTTTTCGGTTGTCCGGAACGTTCTTTGTCTTCCATATTTATCACCATTTCTAAATCGTTGAAACTATTCTCTACGTGTTTTTTCTGACAGAACTTGTTCACCATAAATTTCAAAAATCAATCAGTGCGCTTCAAATGTAATTTTCTTCAAATCAAAGTAGTGAATAAATACATGACGAGAAAAAACAATTATCACGATTCATTTTAAATCAATTAAAAAATATTCCTGCATTCACAAAAATTAAGCTTTACGCACTGAATTTTATTGACGGATATTTAACCTTCAAAAAAACAATCAACTGTTAAAGCTTACCACATTTACAGCTAGAGCCATTTATTGTGAGCAGCGGGAACTAAATTATCATCGAATATATATATATATATATATATATACACAAGATGTTTCATTTTAATCGCCTCAGGCTAATATCTCAGAAGGAAGTCATTCTAGCGAAAAATATATAAACATAAAGGTTATATGATTTGGAAAAGAATATCGGATGATGACCTCGGCCTTATCGGAGGTGACGTTGTTTAAAATTATTTCAAGGTCAACTTCATTTTCTCAAATAGCAGCACTTATTTTTCGTTGCATTTTTTGATTGACATAATTCAATAGAACATTTTTTATGTGTTGATATTTTTTTTGTAGAACTAATAATTTTAGAAACATTCAGATTCTAAGAATATAGAATTGTAATTTTAAGTCAGATCAAAGCAACTTTATTTTTCAAAGATAAAAATTATTTTTTATTGTATTTTCGTATTTATGTAATCAAAATGAATGTTTTTGGTATCTCAACAATTTTTCATAAAATCAATAATTTTCGAGAAATTTGGTCTCAAAAGACCGAAGATGGATCCGGCCAGTGAAGGCAAGACCGAAGATTGATTCGGTCACTAAAAACAAGACTGAAGATTAATTCGGCCATTGAAGACAAGACCGATCGACTCTGTAAAATCACATCGAAAACACATTAAATATTTCTACAATAAATGCTCAAATGTATCACCATTCCGTAGGAATGATATAGGTAACGTAGGATATATAATTGCAACCGTTCTTCGAATGCATCGATTGTTTTTCTGAGGGCGCTGGCTGGTATACTTCTACACGCTCGTCTGATGCGGTCCTTTAGGTCTTTAGTTGTGGTAAATGCGGACTGGTAAACAATATTTTTTACATAGCCCCATAAGAAAAAATCTGGTGATGTTAAATCTGGTGATCTGGATGGCCACCTGGATGGCTATCTGAATGCTAGCATGATCATCATCTCGTCCAATCCAACGGGGCGGATAAGTTAAATTTAAAAAGTCCCGTAGGGCACGCGTAGTGTAGTGGTACACCGTCCTATTGCAACCATATGCATTGGATTGTATTTTCATCGACAACCTCTAACATGCTTGGCAACATATCTCGTAGTATACATAAATATGACTTCCTTGAACATTGCCATAAAAAAATGGAGTCCAACAATATGTGACGAGGCAAATGTTTGCAAGCCTGTGGTCTGGCCGAGGATGAGCCGGAAACTCGCGCCTTCTCACAAGAGAAAGGGACCGAATTTTATAAATTTGTTTCGTGCGCCATTTTGCGAGATGCGACCCGCGGCTATTACATTTTTTTATAAGTGTAAGGTTATCCACGACGAGCCAGTGCGTTGGACTTAAGAAGATTGGAGAAATCGGAGCCGCCGGAAGAGCGCGAACGAAAGCGAGGACTCTGGAGAAGCGGCTAGAGCGGCGTTTAGAAGGGCGCGGGGAAAATTTTCTTTGCCCGGGTGGACGGCTGGCGACGGACAGCCGGGATGGCCACCTTGCGCTGAGAAAAGCGTAAGGGCCCGCGACCCGGTCGCAGGTCATGCGAAGGAGGTCCCCGGGGGAATTCCTTCAAACTGCTGCGAGCCCAACAGTTGCCGAATGTCGTCCCGAGAGGAACAAGGACAAGTTAAGCGTCGAATAGAAGATCCTAGACGCAAAGTTCCCGCGAGCACCCGTGATAAGCATAATCTAGCCGGGAAAGCCAATAGGATGCCGCAGCGACAGATCGTTGTCTCGGTTGCCTCCTGCACTAATTGACGAGCCCTGCTCGTCACTGTACGGCCCGACGGCGAGCGTAATGAACATCCCGAGAACGAGCGAGCGAAGCTGCTGACGATAGCGGGACGAGATCCTAAGGAGCAAAAGCGAGCTTCAGGTAGCGAGTGGGTAAGAGAGAGAGAAACATTGTACAGCCGTGGGTAGGAAAAATTAGAGTTGCGTTATAATTTCGAGTCAGTTGCCGTCGCTTCTCGATGGCACCTGCGCGAGTGGTAAGCCGGGAATTGGACTCGTTTAGGATCCGTCGCGTCCTGAAGGTCGGGACGCGCGGACATGCGAGATTTTGGGGCCACGTCGCAGAGCGACGAAAGCCGTGCTCGAGAGGGCCTCGAGTTTAGGAATCCCGGAGATTCGGACGCGAGACTCGGTTGCCTTCTCTAATCGCCGATTGCACAGTCCTCGGATGTTACTTGTCGGTATTGCTTGTATTCGATTGAGCCGTGACATTGAATCACGTGCTTTTTGGGGAACTGCTTCTGGCGAGCGAGCTAAAACGGGTATTATACATGATCGGTCAGAAAGCAGTAATTACTGTCGGAAAAAAGCCCGGCTGGCGCCCATCGGAAAACCCGGTGAGATTTGCATAACCAGGCAAGAAAGTTTTTCTTGTTAGCACGACGCACGTTATCATAGTTGCCGTCGAGCGGCTTCGATCCGCCGCCTAAAAGCAGCTCACGGAACATCTCGAGCGAGGGATCGCTCTCTATTAATTGTGTTATGGGATATTCCCGGTGTATAGGTTTGTTTTGTATGCAACTGAAAGTAACCAGGCGAATTAAAGTATAGTTATTCGTATGTTAAATTCGTCTTTAAATTGTTTCCTCTTCCCCGATCTTCCCGAATTTCATTGCGTAAAGAGGCAAAAGGTGAAAGAACTATGATACTCTACCACTCGGGATAGTGAAAAGTGAAAATCACTATCGATAAACTAATACTGAACTAACCGAGGTAAGTCCGCTGCCGCGAAAACAGGAGCGAAGAAGTACTGCAACCGCGCGGATAATAATCATTTAGCGTTGCATGTGACAGACCATCTAAAATACCACACTAAACTATCACCTACCAACGATGCTGATTATCTACATGACGGAACCCAGTGCGGATTGATATAAGAATAATAATGGCTATTATGCCATTGCTCTCAAATGCAGTCTCGTCGCTAAACATAACACAAGAAAAAAATGTGGGATCGAGCTGAATTTGAGCTAAAGCTCACTAGCAGGATGTGCTATAAAGAACTTTATCATTATCAGAAAGTTCCTTATTAAGTGGAATGTGATAAGGATAAATGTGATTGCCAAATAAAATTCTATTCACAGTCGCAGGAAACTTATTTAATTCATGGTTAATTTGACGTTGGCTAATGTTCGGATTCACTATTACCATTCCTAATATAGTTACGATAATAGTTGTTATTTAATGGTTTTGTAGAACGTTTGCGTCTCATCTATCCTGGACGTGCTCTAGCCACTAAACGCAAAATCGCTTTATGATCGGGATGTCGTCTATTGGGATATTTATCTCAATATTGACGAGCTGTCTCTTCAGCATTATTATTAACGGTATAATAAATACCAATCACGTCAACAGTTTCTGAGGGCGAATAATCTGTCATGTTGATAATGACACAATTAACGAAAGAGAATAAAATAAATTTATCCTAATAACCAAACATATCGATTAAATTGCCGCAGTAAGAACCAACTCGGGTCGATTTTAACTAAAAACAATCAGGGAATGAATGGGAGCTTGACGACTAATGCAAATGTTTTAAGGTAGTAATCTATACTGAAAAAAGGGCGCACTGATTGCTTCTTTATTCCGTAAAAGCCAAGCTTCGGCGATCTTCCGAATACTTCAAATGCGTTCTAGGTACTCAGCCCAAATAAAAGGGTAGCGTGCTTAAGTACTCGTCGTGAAAATCGAAATTTTTAGCTCAAATAACTCGGAAAGCATTAATTTTGTAAAAAATGGTTAAGATTCAAAAACATTTGTATAGATTACATAAATTCGAAAGTATAATAAAAATACTTTCATAAAAAAAATAAAGTTACTTTGACCTAACATAAATTACGATTCTATATTCTTAGAATTCGAATATTTCAAAAACTATTACTTTTACAAAAAAATATCAAAACGTCCAAAAAATGTCCAACTGAATTGTGTCAAAAATGCAACGAAAAATAGGTGCTATTTGAAAAAATGAAGTTGAGCTCGAAATGACCTTAAACAACGTCACCTTCGATAAGGCCGAGCTCATCATCCGATGTCCCCCTCCAAACCATACAAGCTTTATATTATAAATTTTTCGCTAGGATAATTGCCTTCTGAGATATTAGCCTGGAGTTATATATATATATATATATATTATGTTGGCAAGGATGAAATTTGTAGTTAATAATATTGCCAACTGTAATAGATTATTATTTGATATTGGCTTAATATTGGGAATACAAATTAGTTCGGTCCGTTTTCAAAAGATGGCTCTGGCTGTTATGAATGTTTCATAGTGACAGCTGATTTCGGTAGTTTCAGAGAGGTAAGACATGTGTCAATAATATTCAGTTTATATCGCTTTGAGTTTCATACAAAATCCCTGTTTTTTACTGTGTTGAATATGTCAAATTTTGTGTTAACTAAGCAGCATTTGCGGGAAGTTTTAGTTTTCTGCTTTAATTGGAAGAAAAGTGCAGCTGAAGCGCATCGAATGCTTGTAGAAGTTTATAGTGACAATGCTTCAACTGATAAATCATGTAGGGAATGGTTTCGACGTTTCAAGAATGGTGATTTCAGCGTTGAAACTGAAATCTGGCCTCGCTCTGGACAGCCAAAAAAATTCGAAGACAAAGAATTGGATGCATTACTCGATGAAGATCCGAGTGATTCCATTACGGGCCATCGGTATAGGCTACAATTGATTCGTTTGAGCCGTGCATTACGAGAAAAACGGCCGGAATACGAGCAAAGACATGACAAAGTTATTCTTCTGCGTGATAACGCTCGGCCTCATGTCGCAACAGTCGTAAAAAAATATTTGGAAATGCTCAAGTGGGATATTTTACCGTACCCGGCGTATTCGCTTATCGTATTGCTCCTTCTGATTACTGGTTGTTCCGACAGATGCAGCACGATTTGGCAGGTCACCGGTTCACTTCTTTCGCAAAAATCGAAAATTGGCTCCTAACTTGGATCGCCTCAAAAGACGAGACATTTTTTCGAGATGGAATTCGAAAATTGCCTGAGAGGTGGGAGATAATAGTAGCCAGCGATGGACAATATTTTGATTAATCTGTTCATTCATTTTTTCTGAAATAAATGTATTTTTGACCACAAAAAACGGACCGAACTAATTTGTACTCCCAGTAGGAAAACAATTTAATTTCGATAATGCTGTAAAACTGGCCTTCCAGGAATTCATTGACTCTCGTCCGTCAGGGTTTTATACCACCGGCTTGAACAACCTGCCGCTTAAATGGCAAAAGTGTATAGACAATATGGATGCATACTTTGATGAATAAAATAATTCCTTATATTTGTAAATTATCAACTAATTTTGCCTTTATTTCTATAAATTTCATCCTTGACGACCTGATATATATATATATATATACAAGGTAGGCCATTTTAATCGACCCAGTCGAATATTTTGAAAACCAAGCCCGGGAGAGAAAAAATTTTCAGACAAAAGTTGTTTGGTTTCGAGGGGACCATAAGACGGTACCATTGGTTTGACCTTGAAGAATTATTTGAAAGTCACATGAAGGTCACCTCAATTTTTTTAAACGGCATCCTCTATTTTTTATTACATATTCTTGTAGCTAACCTCGAGAGCTTTCCAAAACACTATAATGAAATGTTTCTTCATTGAGTACTTTTCGAGTTATAAAGCTCCAAAGTTGCAATTTGAAAATGCATGATGTGCTCTTTGACGTCCTAAACGGCCTTGGCGAGCTCTTAGTTCGAGGTCCCGGATTGTAGTATGATTCGGATGTTGTTCTCTTTCGCGGTAACGATTCCGGTAAACTCGCGAAGCTTCATGATAATTTAGTTCACATTCTCCGAGAACAAGGGGAATATCAACAATCTCTGAGGGACGATAATCAGCCATGGGTATTGCTAGCAGACGTAAGCCTCTGATTGTGAGTAATAAAGTTTGATACTCCGATCAACAGTGGAAGAGATTTCCGTAATCAATTGATACCTAAATATCCAATTGTATCTACAGACTATTAATTCCTATTAATTCCTATTGCAACTTTGGAGCTTTATAACTCGAAAAGCACTCAATGAAGAAACATTTCATTATAGTGTTTTGGAAAGCTCTCGAGGTTAGCTACAAGAATATGTAATAAAAAATAGAGGATGCCGTTTAAAAAAATTGAGGTGACCTTCATGTGACTTTCAAATAATTCTTCAAGGTCAAACCAATGGTACCGTCTTATGGTCACCTCGAAACCAAACAACTTTTGTCTGAAAAATTTTTCTTTCCCAGGCTTGGTTTTCGAAATATTCGACTGGGTCGATTAAAATGGCCCACCTTGTATATGTATATATTATGTGCTTGAATTAATTCTCGCTGTTGACTAATAGAAATCAGTAGTTATGCCATTTCAATAGTCGAAAGTGACTGTTGATGTATATAAAAGTATTGTCAATAGGCTTTAATAATCAGTGTGTGACATTAGATCGTAGTGCAAAGAACACAATATTTCATTGCATTGAAAATGTCGGGTTTCATACCAAAGAAGAGTATTTGCGGGAAACATTACTTTTCTGCTTTCATCTAAAAAAATTTGCTGCTGAAAGTCATCGTTTGCTAATGAAGGCTTATAGGGAACATGCTCTATTTGAAACAACTTGCAAAGATTGGTTTAGACAATTCAAAGACAACGATTTTTACGTGAATGACAAAGAGCGCCCTGGTCAGCCGAAAAAGTTTAGTGGAGATTTGGGGGTATTACTAAAAGAAGATTCATGTCAAACGCTCAAAGAGTTACGGAAACAATAAATGTCGATGAGTCGACCGTTAACAAACGTTTAAAAGCAATGAAAATGACCCAGAAGTTAGGAAACTGAGTCCAAAATGAATTGAGAGAAAAAGACATTGCGAAACATCTTTCTTAAGCTGAGTGACAATTTTTCATCACCATTTCCTTCACTTTGTCGATGTTTTAGTTAATCGAAGGCGTTGAAGATTGACCACAACGAGACAAGTCTTCAACCACTTCTCGGCCTTCTTTGAATGCTTCGTACCATTCGTCTGCTCGTGTTTTCGATAAAGCTGACTCACCGTAGGCCTTCTCCAACATTTTCAACGACTTAACTTAAGAAATTTTGTTGGTAACACAAAATTTGAGGCAAACTCTTTGTTCAACATTTGTGAATTGTTGCTTCAAAGACGAGAACGGAAGTCGTTTGGGCATCAAATTGTGACTAGCGGTAAAAAATGGATTCGTTACGACAATTCTAAGCGCAAGAAATCATGGGTACGTCCCGGCGAACCATCAATATTAACGCCAAAACAGAATATTCATGGAAAAAAGGTTTTGCTATGCATCTGGTGGGATCAAGTCGATGAAGTGTATTGAGCTGCTGCAACCGAGTCAAACCATCAATGCTGAACGCTATCGACAACAATTACTCAATTTTAATCGAGCACTCAAAGAAAACGCCCGCAATACGTCAAAAGATATGACAAAATTATTCTTCTCCATGATAATGCTAGTCCACATGTTGTAATGCCAGTGAAGGAAATCTTGGAGACACTTGGATAGGATGTCTTATTCTACCCGCCCTATTCACCAGACATTGCTCTTTCAGATTACCATTTGTTTCGGTTGATGCAGCATAACCTTTCTGAGCAGCACTTCAGTTTTTTCGAAGATATCAAGAAATGGTTCGATGACTCGATCGCCTGGGAAGAACTTGAATTTTTCTACCGCGGAATCCATACGTTACCCGAAAAGTTAGAAAAGGTTGTAGCTTCCGAAGGACAATATTTTGAATAAGATATAATGTACCGTTCTTTTGAAATAAATATGAGTGTTTACGGCAAAAAACAGCGAGAATTAATTCAAGCACCTAACATTCAAGCACCTGTACATTCTGTCAAATACATACCGGGAATTGTTCAATAAAGCACAAAATATTGGTTTAATCATCCAAATTTATTTTGTCATATTCAAAATAAGTCCAATATAACGCGATATATTTACGTCAACGAATAATCCAGTCGAAATATTTCTTATAAATATTTTCCAGTGTGGCTTGCAGCTCCTGCGGATTTTGTTTTATGAATTCAATAGACTCAAAACGTCTCCCACGAAGTGGTAATTTGTGTTTGGAAGGAAAAAGTCATACGGAGCCATATCTGGCGAATACGGTGC